TAAAGAAAAGCCAGAATACTGCCAGTTGAAGTGGCGTGGTTGGATATGAACAGTGATCTCTGGGAGGTCAGTGTAGCTTCCAGAGTTCTGTTACTGGAGTACTGAAAATCATGGAGCAGGAGTTGGCAACCCCCCGCCATGTATGCCAGAGCATGGCACGCAAGGCCATTTTGTTTGGCACGCTACAGCTGGCCCAGGCTGGGCAGCTGCTGCCAGCCCTGAAGCCCAGGCTGTTTGCAGCGGGCAGCGGTAAGGCTCCATGGCTGGCAGCAGCTGCCCAGAGCCTGAGCTGGCTGCAAACAGCTGCATCAGCTCTGGAGCCCTGGCCGGGCTCCATGGCGGTGGTAGCTGCACGCGTACCTCGGGGCAGATGGTAGGAGGGAGGCCTGAGGCAGTGCAAACCCAGCCCGTCCCCCACCACCAACTTGGAGGTGCGCATGCAGCCACCACCACAAATGTGAATTGGGCCCCTCTCAGCTCCATTGTGGTCTGTCCCTGGCACTCTAGGTTGGGGTGTTTTTAGCACTCCAGCCAAAAATGTTGTCAATCCCTGGCATAGAGTATTTCCAAGCCTTAAAGCACATGAGTCACCTTTTTCTTCAACTCGCTTCTACTCACAGTGGGCAGCTCTTGTTTCCAAGAGGAAATTAATTCTGATACGTTTTCATTTTCTTTGCGGTCAGCAGTCAAGCTACCAGTATAGCTAGCAAAGAAAGCATCAAGTGTAGGAGAGGAAGGAGACCGGTTCAGCCTGTACTGTTTCAGTGTGCAAACCTATAAAGAGAACACTGAAAAATATGGTCCCCTGAACTCTAAATCCTTTGACTTCTGGTTTCTTTTGGTTCTTGACTGGAGGACACTGTATATAGCTACTTCAGATACATTATAAAAATGGAGATGGCATTGTAGTGATTGTTAAAAAGAACAATCAATGCACTTAGCTGTTTGGCTGCTTGAACTGACCCTGAATTTGGGCAGGTGGAGCTTGGGATTTTTGTGGTAGGCATGTTTACGGGCCATTTCTCCTAAAAGTATGAGCACTGTTAAGCAACTCCTGATGTTTGAATCGTCCTTAAATTTCAGTGGTATCACTCTGTCAGAGTAAAGGGGTCAGTTTGCACTTCTCAGAGCTGTTTTGTTCGAGGCTGTAGAAGTTGATCTCTATCCTTTTTAGTTTTCAGAGATTTAAATATAGGTACCCTCAGTATTCTGTAGAAAAGTCAGGGGCACTCATCCTGGTTAGCCTTAATTCTATGTTGTTTTAGGGCAGAGAGTTAAAGTGCATCTTCTTTTCAGCATCCAGTGGTTGCATTAGCGATCTTAAGTGGGCATCTAGAATATTAACCAAAAAGTTGCTTGTAAGATAGTCTGATACTTGTTGCTTGAATTATAGGTAGCACAGGTAAGGGCTACTCCTGCCATTTCCTTTTGGCAAAATGTGGATGTTGTGGAAGGCTAGTGATGACTAATTATATGTCACTGCCTGGTTTCATGCCACCTTCAGGGCTAACTGACTTCCAAATTTACATCCCAGGTGGGGGCAGCAGTCAACCCCTTAAAATGCAAGAAAACATTATAGATGGGCATGTGTACACAAAACAAGGGCCCTAAAAGCAGTGGGCTTTAAAAAACACCACTTCAATTTAGGGCTGATTAAACCCCTGTGTCGTGCACACACCCTGTTGATCTACCTGCCTCTCTAGTGGGGAAGGGAGGGCATGCTGCTGGCGGGTGGAGCAGTCCCTGGAGGGGGGGTGGTGCTTCCTTCTGTGGCAGTAGCGGCTCCCCCTGCCCCCAGGCAGCACCTACCCACAGGCACCTGGTTTGGGTGGTCCTGGGAGCACACTGCAGCTGTGGAGGGAAGCACCAGACCCCCGCGCAGCTCAGGCAGGGAATCAGGCTTGCCACTTTTCTTGGGCTGCTGTCAGGTTGCCTGCAGGTCTTCCTGCAGAGCTGTGGAGCTGCACAGTGCCCGGTGCTGTGCTCCATGGCTCTAGGGGCAGCAAACTAAGACTCTTTGAAGGAGTTTTAGTTTGCTGTGCCCCAAGTCATTTAAGGCGCGTTACTCTGCCAAATTTCCTACAGTGGCTGGAATTAATGCACAATATGCTGCCGAGGTGTACAAACACCAACACCACTAAAGTGGTGCAAAAGCCTTTAGCCCACTTTAAAGTGTTGTGCACACACACCTCTCATTTTGTCTACACACGGCCGTAAGATTGTGAATAAGTGCAAGAGAATCACTTCTCCCCCCCCCCCAATCTTTGATTATTTCAGATACTTGCCTCTAATGTTTAGAATATTTTACTGTAACTAAGGAACACCACTCTTTTACAACTTCTTGTTTCTAAGGCGGTGGAAAATAGTCCTGGAAACCAAGGGCCACATAGTCTGCTTAAGATAGATTTATCCTCTTTGATCGACTCTGGCCAAGTATTTGTCTAACTTGCCCTTAAACTGCGATTCCACAGCCTCTTGGCAATCTGTTTCAGTGTGTAATTGTACTCGCAGTTAAAGTTACTCTTGTTACCTAATCTCAGGCTCTTGTGAACAGAATGAAAATGGTTTGTCAATCAAATCCCTCTTCAGGTCTGTGTTTCTCTAGACTAAATCATTCTAATTTTGCCATTTTTGTCTTGTTGGTTTGGTTGCTGGGATCTTTTAACACTTGATTTGATCAGACCCTAAGGTGCACCCCTCCTCCCCCAATAAAGATCAGCTGCAGCTTTCTCTTTGGTAATAATGATTTTTTTTTTCTTTCTGTAGCAGCAAAGAAGAGAACGGGAAGCTCGAAGGCAACAGGAGCGTGAGCAGAGACGGAGAGAACAGGAGGAGAAAAGACGGCTAGAAGAAATGGAGAGGAGACGTAAGGAAGAAGAGGAGAGGAGGAGAGCAGAGGAAGAAAAGAGGAGAGTAGAGAGAGAGCAGGTGAGCCTCTGATGTAGCTTAAAGCTCACAAGTTTGTTTTTTCTGTATTAAATTGGAGTTGGATTAAAAAAAAAACCCAAACAGTTCCATTAGAGAGCCCACCTGGCCTCTTCAACAAGTGCATGAAAGGAAAATTTGAAGTCTTATGGCAAGTTCAAGTGGTCTTCATTTGGCTTGGAAAAATGAGTTCTTAAACATGTGCATAAAAAAGATCTAAACTCAGATAGTACTAGGGCTTACATAAAACTGACGTAAGGTAGCAACATCTGAGTCAGTACGGAAAATTGGTTTTTGATCCATCCTGCTGGAACAGTAGTTTTTGGCAGGATCAGCTCCTGTCAGGAAGATCTCTGAGAGAATCTGCTTTATTGGATGTAATTATTTTGGCACTCCTTGGATGAGTTACATCAGAGGGTTTGTCAAAACTGAACAGGTTGTTTGAAATAAACTCAATACTATATTACTTTGAATTGCACAGTAACTTTCTTTAGCTGGAAAGAATTCACCTACAATTACATGTGCCAATTAAGAATTTAAGAATATCTTAAGTACTGTAAATGTGTTCTTTAAATATTTTAAGTAGAGAAGTCGTTCAAATTGTGAGATACTCAGCAGTGGTACTTATGCATGAACTCTGCATGCTTAAAAATCCTTTATAAAAATTTAATCAGGGTAATAATTACTGTGTATATAGTAGCTAGCAAGTGAGGTAAAGATTAATTCCAAATGAAGAGCCCAGTACTCTTCTGATAGAAGATATCAGTTGTGAAATTTGCATTAACTTAAGGAAAAGCAGGGTTGAGTCTGGAAAAATTTCAGACTACCACTGTGCAACTGACATGGTCCCTCTTTTTTTTCTTACCCCGGCAAATCTTTTTGTGTAGGTTTATGCTAAGCTAGTGTCCATCATCCGTTTATCATTAAACTTTATTCTATAGCTCCCATCACTGTATCACTAATTACTTTATGCATACACTGTCAGTGTGTGTGCGCGCGCGTGTGTAAAAATGTGGATGTGGTATTTGTGTGAGCATGCATATGTTATATGCTTTCATTAATTGCATGATAGGATGTTATCAGCTTGGACATGGTGCTTCATAGTTAGCTGTTATAGGGGGGCCAGATGAAGCAGTGGGTAAATATATTAGCTTTTGACCTCTTGAGATACAGGTGTACATGTGGCTAGATCACCAGAGACAGTTTGGTCTAATATCTGTTTCGTAGTAGATGTCTGTTTGTGTCATAACCATTGCATAGTTCAGCAGATGAGGAAGTGTCTGTTCAGGATAGGCTTATGATTATGGTAGCAGTGGAGATTGTAGGTTAGGTTTGAACTGCACTTGGCAGAGCCCCCCTGTGGGGTAGCTTGCACAAGGTCTGCCTGCACTAAGCCTGGATGTCTAGTTGTTGCTAACAGTTCATCACACCAGCGCAGCAAACTAATTTTTAATAAACTTGCATGTAATTTGTGTTGGCTGTGTTGAGTAAGGTTTGCTGTATTTTAACCTTCAAAACTTTTAAATGCATTTGCTTCTTTTTTCAAACCATTTCCAAACTACATAAGCAATCAGTGACTCGGTCCTTGAAAATCACTGTCGTCCAAACTGGGATACATCAGCCAACGTGGACGTTTAGATGACAGGGTTTTCCAAAGTACTCTCTAAGCACTGATCAATCACTAAGTGAATTTATCATCTAAAGATGACTGGAAAAATAGCTTATGGTGCTCCACTCAGGTGGTTCTGATGCATTCCTTGTGAATAAATTTATTGCTGGGTAATTTCTATGTGACAGGAGTATATCAGGCGACAGCTAGAAGAGGAGCAGCGGCACTTGGAAATTCTTCAGCAGCAGCTGCTCCAGGAGCAGGCCATGTTACTGGTAACGCACCGTATCTGTTTTGTTCAGTAGCTATAGGATTAATTTATCCTGGCCAGTTCAGTAGCTATAGGATTCGTTTATCCTGGCCAGTTCTAGGCTTCCCATAGTTGGGCACAGCTGCACTAACGGTATGAACAATGGAGCTTGATTAAAAAGCCATTTATGCTAGCATAGCGGGTTGATAGGCATATATGAGAAGTACTGTATGGTCTCACTGCTTCCTGTGCAGTAAGAGGAGGAAGATTTATGTTAAAGTTGAACGTTTTGGTTTGGTGCTTGATTTTTTTGGAACAGACCTCAGCATTCAGTGAAGAACTAGAGTGCTTACGTTGCATATCAAAAGCACGTGATATGTAAATCACCCCCCGACCCCCCCACCCCGAGACAATGGCCTCACGTTGTTCCAAATCCTTGCTTATCGAACTTTACACTGGATTCGGTTTAAATCATTTTGTAATAAACTCGGTTTTGCTGTAGCTCTCCAATCGCGTCAAGGTTAGCAATACACTTGCAATGTTCCTAAACGGCATGTGCTTCCTGTTTGGTCCAACTTAGTTCTCAAGAAAAACTTTTAACAAAAAAAGAAAAAAAAATGGGCTGGTTAGGGGAATATCCTCTGCAAGTTCAGTGTCATGACTTGAATTCCTTACACGTTTTCCCAAAGGAATACAGATGGCGAGAAATGGAGGAGCATCGACAAGCAGAGAGACTCCAGCGTCAGCTGCAGCAGGAGCAAGCCTATCTTCTGTCACTGCAACATGATCATAGGCGGCAGCAACAGCAGCAGCAACAACAGCAACAGCAGCAGCAGGAAAGGAATAAACAAAGCTATCATACCCCTGAGCCAAAAGCCCATTATGAACCTACTGAAAGAGCACGTGAGGTAATTCTTGCTCTTGTATGTTAAGCCCATTGTGTTTCCCTCATCTTTAGCAATCAACATCTTAATAATTCTAATATTATAAAAGCTTTCATCTGTCTGTCTGTCTGTCTCTGTCCATAATGCTTTATTTGCACTCTGATTGGCTGTCTTGGCAGCCAGTCAGAGTGCTCTACACAGACAGACCGATGGCGGAGTGCCACCATGACAGTCGGGACTGAGAGGCTGGAGGGGAAGCAGAGGGGTACGGCGGGGACCGGAGCACCGCCATAATGGAGGGGATGGAGCAGGGGGGGGAGGCCAGTCTCTTGGAGCCAGGAGCCGTTCTTGGGTCTGTTTCTTGGAGTCAGGGGCGCCTCCATCATTCCTGACGGGCAGTTTGCTAGTTATGTTATAAAAGTGTTCAGTGGACTTGTAAGCCAAAGTATCAATACTAGGCATTGGATAATACTGTAAAATAGGACTTATATTGCCCCAAAAGGGGAAACTTACTATTGTTCAGAGGCTTATAACAAAGGAGGAAAGAAGAATCCTCACCAAGGGAAGCAGTTTCAAGTTAATTAAATCAAAAGTGTAGTTTCTCCTGCTCTCATATAGACATGTTTTTTTCCCCCCTCCTTCCTACTCCTTTCATAAAAGCAGCATTTACATTTCAGGGAAGCTCCTTGACACAGTTGGTGGCCTTTGTTTTCAGAGGCGCTCAGGGATGTGGGGGACAGATTTAGGCTGGTGAGCTAAGGTGCATAGACTTATAGCACCTGCTTCCACTGCTTTTACCAATCCCATTGGTTCTTTCCCTTCACGAGAATAAGTTCTGTGGTCCAAAAGTAGATTAAGTCTTCCTCTGTGACAGTATATGCCACTGATATATATCCTAGCAGGTGCTTTATGTTCACAGATCTTATTGGAATCAGTGGGAGTTCTTTCTGTTTAAATTTTGATGGTATTTGTCACTATAGTATGGGTGCTCTGCATATGGCAACATCTGGCCCAGATGTATACATTTATAAGGAGAATAAATACCCCTTTGGGGATGTCGAGCAGAAATGTTCATTGGAAACTATAATAATAGCCTTCAGTATACCTTTTATCGGTAGTGTTAATTGCTTTTGAAGCATTACTTTTTTTGCCAGAGGAATAAGGATGACAAATTCACTCAGTTTTCCATAGATGCTGTAGTATGTGGATTCCCCATATTCTGGGCTCCTGGATCTTGTTCTCTCCCCAGTGCAAAATATTTGGCTGTTGCCTATCCTTAGCATATGTTGAAGACAGTTATACTTGTCTGCAAAGCTGTACAGCTTGGTCAAACCTTTCTTTAATTTCCAATAGCTTTGCACTACACCGCTGAAAAGCATGGTGGCAATTTGTCAATTAAGAGTTCTCATCTTCTCTCTTAGCCTTATGACTTTTAAAGCTAGTTTTGGAGCAAGAGTGACTTCTCTCTTTTCTTCTTATTTATCCCTGAAGGCTTTGAAACTTTAGGCCTTTTAACCCTGAATCAGCCCTTTCTCTCCATTTTTTCCCACTCTGTCCCCTTTATGGTTGAGCAGGCTAAATGGAGTAAGCTGAAGGCAAAGAGGGGTGCCATCTGTAGTAAGATCCTCTTAGGAGTGACTGTGTAAAGTATTGACTTTCTTTGTTTGCCATAGAAACTCTCTATATTTACTGTGAGTAGCAGAAATACCTGTAAGTTCATGATCAAAAACATGATCAAGCCAAGGTTGGTTTGGTTCTCACTCCAGAAAGTCCAAAGAGGGAGTGCACACCATTTCCAGGGTTTCTGCTAAAAAAGGATACCAGAGAAGGAGCTTATCTTATCCCAGAGCTGGATCTGGAATACTGGAAGGGAGTACAAGCCCCACATGGTTCTTCTGTGTAGACAGTCAAGTGACCAAAAGAGCCTTTTTCTTTCCAGAATTAAAACCTTTTAAATGGTGATATTTAGGACAATGACTCCTGCTTCCAGGAGACATTTTAATACCAGTGGACCTGGCAGATGCTTCTCTGCATATATCCAGTCCTTTCCTTCCTTTTTCGCGTCCATGTGCGATAAGGTACTTAGCAGAATTTGCAGATTTGTTGGAATCTGACAGGGCTGCACCATGAGTACTTCTGCTGTGTCCTCAAACTTGCAGCCTCTGGGCTGCCAGTTGTGTACCTTAGTGCCCTTGCCCCCCCCCGACCCCCCATTATATCCAATCATTATTATGAAGAGAAAATACTAATGTTTGGGATCTCCATTTTCAGACTACTCAGGAAAGTTTAAATAGCAGTGGGAGCTTGACAGACAGGTAAAGTGGGCTTGCCTTTGTCATTTAATGCTGCCATAAAAAACGAATCATCTTGTACCATCATAGATCATAAGGAAGAAATCTATAAGACCATCTTCATATTTTAGGCACATGGGTTCATCCTAAACCCAGAGAATCTCCTAGGTTATCCTCAAAGATGGAGGAGTGGAGAGAGGAAAGCTACATTTCTCAGTGCAAGAAAGCTTTGATAGGAACCAAGCAGTGAAGTGTTAAGGAACCAGTGTGTCCTCCTGCATTTTTTAACTCTTCATACTGTCTTGATATCCTTCCTTTTTTTGTTACAGTCTAGTGTTGATTTACTTCGACTTTGCTGCTGCTCATCCAGCAATAAACTGATGACAATTGCAGAAAAAAATCTTCCAGTCTAGACCAGTTAATTACTATATCTGAAGAAAAAGTGGTGTAACAGCTTTTATATTCCTAAAGTACTTCACCTTGGTGATCATGCCTGCTTTCTGCTTGGTTTAGGTGGAGGATAGATTTAGAAAACCTAATCAGGGGTCCCCAGAAGCACAGTCTAAACAGACGGGCAAAGTGTTGGAGCCACCAGTGCCTTCAAGATCAGAGTCTTTTTCCAATGGGAACTCAGAACCTGTTCAGCCTGCCCTGCAAAGGCCAATGGAACCCCAGGTAAAAACTGGAAATGTTGGTGGTGTTGGAAGAAATCTGTACCTTTTGAATAGATTTACTTCATTTTAGGTTTGCAAATCTTGGCACGTAAGCCCCAGTTATGCTTCATGAGACTATGAAGGATGACTTATTCTACAGATTTGCTGCTTGTGTGTATGAGACTCATTTTAGAGGTAATGTGCAAGAAGGAAATAGCTGAGCTGGACTTCTAGGTTCTGGTAGCAAAGCTAACTGGATGCATGAACACCACATTGTCATGGTTGTATTGATACGTAATGAACCTCTAAAGCATTCGATCCTATACTCCGTAACGATGCATAAAAAGAGATTACAGGCTACAACTTACAAACAGCTATAAATACAGAATTAAAATGAACTATTTAAATACACTTATGAAGCATAATGCACAATTTCTGTGCACAAGAATATTGTGGTTGAAAAACATGGGGTTTTTCTCCTTTTGATAAGTTGACAAAATTCATGATGGTGGTGTGGCTAAAACTTTCCCTGGTTATCTTGTTGCGAATAGGCTTTGTAACACTTTTTGGCAACAGCAGCATCTGAACAGAAGGAAGAGGGGGAGTAATTGGGACAAAATGTCACCTTTCACTCCTGCCTTCCTGGCTTGAATTTAAATTTCTAGCATTCTCTGAGAACACTATACTCATGTTTGATACTATATGCAGTCTATGCTGATTACGTCTAAAATCTTGCTTTCAACTTCTGCTAAGAAGAATTGAGTGTTGGTGCATTAAAAAATGTAATAATTATATACATATTCAAACAAAGAGAGCCCTCCCCTTCCTAAAACTCTGGACAACTGCTAAGTCTATTTTGTTGGTGAAAACAAAACATACTGGAGTTGTGGCTTTACCTCCTTTTTTTTTTTTTTTACTTCTATCTTATTACAAAAAGAAATTTTCAAGCAAATGACTTACTTCACTTATAATTAAAAAGAGGGTGGTCTTGGGAGTCAATATAAGTCTTACACTAGAAATCCAAATGTAGCTTTAACTATGGAGTCACTGTTGTCTCCATAATTTGTGCGTGTAGTTTGTGTGTATATATGTGTACATGTGCAGTATATGGTACATATATAGCACATGTAGAATATGCATTTTATATATATATTGTCATGACTATAAAGGAATAAAGGCTTTTGATTTACAATTGTCCTTCAAAAGTTATGCATTATAATTAATTCCTTAATCAATAGATCATCTTTGGGTTACACATTAGGCAGTATTTCTTCGATTTGATATTACTTCAAATTGTCCTTCCAATTCGTGCTTCTGCGAGGCTTGCACAAAATCCGTCAAAACAAATGGAAGAAGAGTCCCAGTACTTTGGTGGGCTTTGGGTCAAGTGCATAGTGACCATCTTATTTTTGTTTTTTTCTGGGGTAGTAGCGTATGTGTTTTTGGAGAGTAGTGTGTTTGGAGAGCCTTTCTCACAAAAATGCATACATACTGTATTTTCAGTCTGTTATGTTCTCTGGGTGCTTGCCGTGCTTTTAAGTGCATTAATTCCACCTCACGCTTGCCTAATGCCATAACCAAGTTGTCTCTGCCCCTGTCCCCACCACCTGCCTTTATTCTGTGTCAATTGGAAAATAGGTTCTATGGAGGCATTTGAATGTTTTATGTTTTGTTTTCTTGTAAGGTACAGTGGTCCCATCTGGCATCTCTCAAGAACAATGTTTCCCCTGTCTCGCGATCCCATTCCTTCAGTGACCCTTCTCCCAAATTTGCACATCACCATCTTCGTTCTCAGGACCCATATCCACCTTCACGCAGTGAAGTGCTAAATCAGAGTTCTGACTCTAAATCGGAGGTACCTGACCCCACCCAAAAGGCTTGGGCTAGATCAGACAGTGACGAGGTGCCTCCAAGGGTAAGGAGTAGAAAGACAGATGTTTCCTTTTTTTTTTTTTTTTTAAATTTTTCTTTTGAAGAATGTGGTAGTGTTGGCACTGGAAGAATCAGCCCCGTAGAGCAGTGCCAGCATGGGGAACAGTGTTTTAGAAGGGTGAAGTTAACCAGTCAGTTAGCCAGCGATAACATGATAGAAGGAAATTTTGCAACCTCTGATAAAATTGGCTTATATTTATAAGCCATAGCTCTTGAAGAGAGACAATTTATTATGCAAAGATAATAAATCATTACCATATTCAGGAAATAATTTACAGTATCCCTGAGCTTTAATTTACAGCTTAAAGTTAATTTTCTTCTTCCTCTGTTTGGCAAACCAAACTGCAAATTAAGAACTTATCTTTAAATTGAGATGGAGCTGAACAAAAAAGGAAACATTGAATATATATATATTTTCCCCTTCAACCTGGGATTTTCTGCTTCTGAATATGCTCTTGCCCCCCACCAGTCTTTGCCTCCTGCTAATCCATTACCAGCCATTTGTTTGGTTCCCTTGAGCTTATCCTCCTTATTCTCATGCTGTTTCAGCAAATTGCTTTGTGCCTCCCTTGCTTTAGTCAAAATGCCATATTCTTTTAAAATGTCTCCAAAGTCCTGGAGGGGTTGGTGGGGTGGGTTGCTGGGTGTGCGCATCTTGTGTGGTAGCTATTTAAGTACTTAGAGTAAATGTTCAGTTTTCCTTAATATCCTAACAGCAGCCCAGCTAAGATTCTTCATTTTACGGGTAATTTAGGAGTGGGGTCGGGGGTGCGGGTCAATGACATAAACTTCAACTTAGAATAATAGCAATTTTCAAATCTTAAAACTTGTTCTCTACCAGGTGAGGCTTAATAGTTGCCCTTCCCTTCTCTTCTTCCTGTAATTAATGATTTTTTTTTTCCTCTGCTAAGGTACCTGTAAGAACAACATCTAGATCTCCTGTCCTGTCCCGTCGAGATTCTCCACTGCAGGGCAGTGGTCAGCAAAACAACCAAGCAGGTCAGAGGAATTCCACAAGGTTCGTAAGTTCAGGATCTTTCCACCTCTCCTATGTCATAGAGAAACAACAGTCAGAAGCCACAGTTTCCTTTGCAGGCAGAAAGCCACTGGTATTATCTGATGGATGTGAGGGAAGGAAGAAAGTGTATGGGGGTTTTTGTGCCATTTAATGTTGAGATTCCTTGGCACCAAGTATTTCAGTAAACCCCAACTGAATTTATTTTTTCCCTTTTAGTCTTTGAAGCAGCTATCTAAGTAACCCCCACAGCAATTTCAAAATATGTTAAAAAATCGTTTAAAAAAAAAAAAAGCAGCAAAAAAAGGGGTGGGGGGAGTTCATGCAAGCGTTTATTGTCAAATGGCATGCTCCCTGCTATGATTCGAATCCCTTGCATTGCACTAGCATTCATCATCATTATTGGCAATCCCTCACAATTGAGGATGCTTATCAGTATGATTGTGCTGGGGTTACAATATGTGCAGTTATAGGTGTTTGCTTGGGTCACGATCATTTTACAGCTCTCCGATGTCAGTGTGTTGCCACCTAGCAGAAGAGCTAAGCATTGTTGATATTTTTCTAATAATAATGATCATGACTAGCTCCTAAGGTATGAAGACAGCCAGTACAGCTGCTATTCATGTTGTGAATTGTTATTAAAACCCTAAATGCAACGATTTAAACTCTTTCTGATCAATTGCTAACAAAATTCTGGTAAGTAACAGCACTTGATTTTTAAGTTTGAAATGGAAAATCTGAAATTAAAGTTGGTAAGAACATTCTTTTCCTCTGCCTGCCCCTTTCCCTTTCCCCTCGCTCCCCACCCCAAACAGCAATATAGAGCCTCGTCTGCTATGGGAAAGGGTTGAGAAGCTTGTACCAAGACCAGGCAGTGGCAGCTCTTCAGGTTCAAGCAACTCTGGCTCTCAGCCAGGTTCCCATCCGGGATCGCAGAGTGGCTCTGGTGAACGGTTCCGAATGAGATGTAAGGCTGCATTTTATTTATTTATCTTCTTCCTCCCCCACAACCCCTGATCTATCCAGAGTTACACACACACACACACACACACACACACACACACACACACACACACACACACACACACACACACACACACACACGGATTGTGTGGCAGTTCATAATAATAAAGAGCAATAAATATTTATTTGAAAGGAATTTTAAACATAAGTAATTAGCAAGTTCTGATTCTTTGCCAGTTGCTTCCCTTTTAATAACTCATGGAGGGGTAGGGAGGGGGGCAGTCTCATCAAGATTCGTATTCAGTTACAGTTGTATTTGACAATGTTAAAATATTTGACTAATTATCCACTACTTTTTTGCCTATAACTTGCTGGCTTTTTTCTACCTTTGTGTGAGCATGTTGGCTACCATTGTATTCTGGTGCCTTAGGTGGGCATGAAGACAGACTTCTCTTTCAGATCCAGATTTGTTGACTTTTTAGTTATTCTACTTCTGCACATCTCCTTGAGTTAAATGCAAGCATAGCAGCTTACTGCTGGGTTGGGCATGGGGTGGAAAGTAAGGTAAAATTGAAAAGTTCTCTAGTGTGTGAGGTTTTTATTTTTTTTTTTAATAAAGAATGATGAATCCACAAAACTATACTTTGGAGTAGTACAGGCAACCCTTGCCATTCGTGGGGGATACATTCTTAAGATCCCTGTGAATGGCGAAATCTGCGAATACGGTACGGTACTGTGTTCATGAACATCATGAACGCGGTGCCCCCCGTGGCTGGGATGGAGGCATGGCTGTGCTGGTGGTGGTGGGAGCCTGGCAGCGGCAGGAGCCCAGCAGTGGCAAGTGTGGAGCTCCCGAGGAGCTTCTGTAAGTGTATTTAAGATACGGGTTCAGCATTCACGAATATTTGAAACTGCGAACGGTGAACCTGCGAATAGCGAGGGTTTCCTGTAGTTACCACAATCCTCTTCACTCATGCCATAAAATAAAAGAAAAAGCAACTTTATGATAGATTTCAATTGCTCAGGATGCTTCTGTTGCTGCTTAATTTTGGAGTTGGTGTTGGCAACATATGACCCATGGCCCCGGAGTGCTTTGTTGACATTCCATCGGCAGGGTCTTCACCTGTGCTGGGGCTGGGCAGTGAGGAGCTTCACTGAGGCCAAGTGATTTGGAGCTGTGCCCATGCCTCTTCACTTCTCTCAATCTCTCCGCTCCCATCAGTTGTGGTACAGGCACAGCTGCTTGGCCGGGCATGGATGTGGGCAAAGCCTTCAGTCACTGAGCCCTGACCCACATGAGAGCCAGGTTGTTCTGGCCCACAGCTTGGAAGGGTTTTCATCCCCTGTGTTAGAGCATATACAGTTGTAATGTGTAAAGCATTTTGTAGGGGAATTGGAGTGGAAGTACATCTCATAGTGAAATAGCTTTAACCCTGCAATGCTCCACTGCTATTAACCCATATAAACTACTGAGCCGAGCTGGCAGTGAGATTACGGTCTTGGATTCCAGACTGGATTCAGTGTGTGCTTGCCCTGGTTTACATCTACCCATGCAAACCAGTGGGTAGCTCAAGAGGTGCAAGCTGTTAGAGCTAAATCCTCAGTTGGTGTAAATTGTCATAACTCCACTGGCTTCTATGGAGCTGTAACAGTTAACTCCACTTGCAGATCCTTCCACTAGTGTTCATGGACAAGGTGGTTGTTTGCATTCATGCTGCTTATCCTGGTTTGACTCTTGCTGAGCTGCATCAGCACTGATCACAAATAAAGTGGCCTGCACTAGAAGCATGTACTGGTCCATCTTAATTGGTGGATGGCTGTCAGTGGCTTAGATCCCCAGTGTTTCAAAGCCTTTGGCCTCTTTTTGCCACAGACCTTACTGCTCTTTATTCTTGCTTTTTTTTGTCTTGATATGCAGCGTCATCCAAATCTGAAGGCTCTCCATCTCAGCGTCATGAGAATGCAGCCAAAAAAACAGAAGAGAAGAAGGAAGTCTTCAGACCCCCCAAGCCTGCTGTAAGTTAAGCCTACCTTCTATTATTTATCTTGGTAGCATTTCCAGATTTTTCATTTGATGTTAGTAGGCAAAGGCTGTTAACATCATACTGTGACCCTGTTTTAACAATAACTGGATTGGTAGTGAATTTGTGTTTCAGCTTGGTGGTTACATATATTATATTTTTTCCCTTTGCCTTTTGTACTTATTTTATTATCTTATCTTGCTTCTCTCCAACCATGCTCTCAATCCTGTGCACTCTGGATTAATGATGAATCGTTTGACCTGCTTGACCATTGCTGTGCTAGGGAGAAGTGGTAAGCACTTAATCATTGCATTCAGATACCCTGGAAATTTTCTAGAGTACCTGGTCATTGTTTAACCCTATGAGGTTAAAGTAAATGATCACAACGTTTCCTTCCGTCTTTAAAAATATCTGATTTATTCTGCTTTATGTTGCAATGCATTCAAATGTCCCAATTAGACCTGCCTTTGAACCTGATAATTCCCCTGCCAAGAGTTTATAAACTATAAATTATACAACATATTTTATACAAGACAACTCAGTTAGTTTAAGGTGCTTTGCAACTCTGGTGCCCAAATGTTTTATGTACCATATCTTGTCAAATTGCAGAAAACGGGGTGCAAAAAAGGAACCATCACACTGAAGAACCTATTTAGTGCCTGGTTTGCAAATTGACATTCCTTGTGTGAACTGAAGAGAGCAGCCAAGGAGTCCAAGAGTCAGAGCATTTGGATTCAAAATGCAATTCACAGTGATACAGATATCTGATGTGCCCATCTTCCTAATCCAAATGCCTTGGTGTTTAACCTGCCAATGAACTTACAAAGTAACGAGTAAACTGACATGTTGCAGAGAATGATAGAAGCCCAGCAGCAGAACTTAAGTCCAAACAATTTAGGTCTTACAACTCTGCTCCTGTCAAGCTGATGCTTCCCCGTTTTAATCTGCCCTCTAACCTGTGCCTTTCATGTCTTCATTGCGCTCTGGTTAGGATTTAACTGCACTGGCAAAGGAACTGCGAGCAGTTGAAGATGTGCGACCCCCACATAAGGTAACAGACTACTCATCATCCAGTGAGGAGTCTGGGACGACAGATGAGGAAGATGATGACATGGAACAGGAGGGAGCAGACGAATCTACTTCTGGGCCAGAGGATACCAGAGCAGTGTTAGTTGTTTTGTGCCATGTTGTTTTTCTTTTTCATATCTGTGCGCCCCCTCCCTCTGAGGTTGGGGGGATGGGGGCGGGGAGGCAGAGGAGGAGTGGAGTTTGCTTGTTTGAGTGATGCGTTTAATTCTGCTTGTATCAACACAGTGTTCTGGAGTCCATTAGCATTCCCTTTGTGTTCACATTTCCAAAATGTATTGGGTAATATTTTCAAAAGTGTACAGATCTCATTTTCAGAGGTCACGGAAGTGCTAAGTCACGAAAATCCTTGCTGAATGTCAGTAAGAGCTAAAGTCATTACTGAAAATGGGACTTTGGCTCTTCCCCTTAAGCTCTTTAAGCAAAGCTATTTTTATATGTGAATGCCATTTTTCTTGTGTTTCTAAAGATCAGACTAGAGTGTTGTGTCCTCTCCCTCCCTCCCTTGCATTTTCTGTAAAACGGGGAGAGCTTCTTTTAGCAATTCTGTTACTACTTGTCGTCTTCCTTGATAGTTCAGTAAAAATTTTACTTTGGACACAACTGAAGTATGACATGAATTGGATACAGGTACACGGTGACTTGCATATTAAACTGAACTGCTGTGGCGTTATCTTATCCAGATTATCTGTTGCTTGATAAATAGGTCAACTCTAAACTTAAGCAATGGTGAGACAGAGTCAGTGAAAACCATGATTGTTCACGATGACGTGGAGAGTGAACCTGCCATGACTCCTTCCAAGGAGGGTACTTTGATCGTTCGACAGGTATTGTCTTTCCTTCCCTGTGCAATTTTGCACCACTTCTGTGATCATTAACCTGCCTGCTCATTCACCCACTCTGTTTCCACATTATATTTGTTGTTTGTGTTATCCAGACACAGGTAGCTTATTTTGGATGAGCAGATATTGTGGATGCATGCAGAAAAAAAGAGCATCCTCCACCCCTTGTTGCTACTATTTTGCATGTTCTGCAATTACACTTATTACAGCACCATACTGAGTACTTCAAAGTCTGTGTCAGAAAATGATAGAAAAGCTGCTGCAGGTGTGTGAAGTAAGCATTCAGAGCAGGAGACTTTAGTTTTGGAAATAAAGGGGAAGAGGGGAATGGAGGCAGAAAGTGTGTTCAGGTCTTTAATTTTTAATCCTTCACTTGAGAAGATACTCCTTGAAAAAAGCAACAGCAAAAAGTAAGGTAGAAAATTATTGATAATGGGGGATGGAAAGGGATAGCCACAGGTCATAAGGCAATGCATATGCACAGATCTAGGGGGGTTTGTTTCCTTCAATTTATTAAGTTATTTGTACTGTGAGGATGATGCTTCCCTGTATATTAAACAAACTCCTCTGTAATGAATATGTTCACTCCTAGGACTTCCTCCGTAATCACATTCATGGATTTTACAACTGAGTGTCAATTTCTTAATTGAGCCCTATGTTTGCTAATTAAGATTTCATTCTTACTGTTTTAAATAGCTAGCTGAGGGCATTCACTAGATACTTCAGGTTCTCATCTGAACATGATTCAAACTAGAATTAAATAAAATGATAGGGGAAAAAAAGCCAGAAATCTTGCCCGTGCTCTAGGAGAAAAATTAACAGCACAGTTACCTTCTGGCAAAGGAACTGACCTTGCCAGGGTATCATAAAAAGTGAAAGGCCAAATTCTGCTGGCCAGAAGCAGTGCTTGCTGAGTTCTTGCAGCTCTGCAGACCTTACCCAGGCATCAAAGCATGATGTATCGATTCATTCAAAAAAAAAAAAAAAAAGCAAGAGAAGGAAGAATAGATTACGTTGTTAGGGATTTAGGCCTTTAAGCAGCACTTGAGCAAGACAAGTGTGCCTGTTTTTTCTACAGAATACAGTTGACACAAAGCGTGCCAGCCATCATGAGAGCAATGGCTTTGCCGGTCGCATTCACCTCTTGCCAGATCTCTTACAGCAAAGCCATTCCTCCTCCACTTCCTCCACTTCCTCCTCCCCATCCTCCAGCCAGCCGACACCCACCATGTCCCCACAGACACCCCAGGACAAGCTAACTACTAATGAGGTATGTCTTGCACCACAGCTGGCTGCTTTCTTAGGGTTATACCAGTGTTGCCTAATAGCTAGTTTGCAAAGGAACTCCAGCCAGTCTTTCCCCTTGCTCTTTTCTGTCACCTTTTTCCCACCCCTCCAAAATAACACATTTCAGTTCTGTATGAGAAATTCTTAACGCTAGATGAGATTTACTCCAACCTTGCCAGTTTACTATTTTTGCTTTCTGTAGCAAGTCATTAATTGCATGGCTTTTGTTTAAACTAAACCTGATTTACTATATTTGTCAGATCAGTGTTTTATTTAACTTATTTAACTTTCTATTTTTATTTTGTTATATTCTGGGAGCAGGCTAATTTTAAAGAATCTGCTTTTTCAAAAAACAAAATAAAACCTGGTAATTTTGGCTTGATTTAATCTTAAAAATTAAGCAGATAACTAGGGGACTTGCTTGTAGAAACTTGCAGCACTGGATAAAGAAGCTGTTTTCTAGCTTTACAGAGGGACTTTACTTTTTAGAATTGCCACCTGGGCTTAGTGACTATTTCAGATGCTCTTCAGGAAATTTCTAGTGTCCAGGGTGTTGGTGGTTTGGAATGACCTATAGGAGCTCTTTTGGTTTTGAAGTCTAGTTCAGGTCTGAAAAATGACAATATACAAATGACATTGGCTTATTCCTCACATATGTAGTGTGACTCTTTTTGGAGTCCTGTCTGCAAAGTGCCCTGCTGCTGAATGTTGATGTCTGTTAATCTCTATTGGCTCTCCAGAGCTAAAAGGGGGCGAGCTGCTTTCTTGTACGTGAACAGTTTTTCGCAGAATCCCAGTGAGATGGCTGATCCCTTGTAACCCTGTAGTTTTTTAAAGGTTATTTAGATACACATGTGTAAATTTTCCTACATGGTCATCAGTGGCAATAGGTGGGAAGGAGCAAACCTTACCTAGTTTTCAGATTGAAGTATCTGGCCTGGCATTTAGGGAGAACTAATTCATACTTGCAAAGAAGTACGATGTGGTCTTAGCCAGACTCTGTAAAGACGCAGTGACCTGCTATCTTTTTTCTAAATGCAAGTGAAATTTAATGTAAACATGACAGTGCATTGGCATCAAATTTCAGGTTTCTTTGTACTTAATATAGAAACTTAATGTGTACATTTCAAGATGGGATTATGAAAGTTTGTAGAATGTATTAAATGGTAAGAGAGCAAATATTCATTCCCCCTTCCTTCCCTCTGCCCCCTCCACGCAGCATTTCAGTGAACAGAATGCTTGTGTAATTTTTAGATACACTTCAGTAGTCCTTGATCTTTCAAGTACATCTATGTAGATGTAAACTCATTGTTTCAAAGGCATACTCATTCATCTCTGTTCTAAGCAACAAGTAACCAGAGTTCATTCAACTTGGCTCAAAGAGCATTGATATTGAAATTATAGTAGCTGCTTTTGCTGCTGGTGGTGGTGTTATTAGTAATGTTGTTGAAAATACTTTAACTTATGCAGAGAAGTGGTGAAACAGTCGATACAGAAAGTAGAAAGGCAGAGGTGAAAGACAGGGATCACATTTGCAGTGGCAAAAAAGAAACTGACCAGAGATTCATTTCCTTCAATCACAGCAGTTTATGCTGTGTGCGCATGCACGCACATGTGTACACGTGCCCCTCACATTCCCCCTTTTTTTTTAACTTGTCCCATTCTGCTTTAATGTGCAGTGTTTTCACTGTAATACCTAGCTCACTAAACTGGCAAGGAGTTCTTAAGAGTCATTCCATTTGCACTTTTTAACAGTTCATTGTTTCAGTCGTCTTTTTCCTTTCTTTGTGGTTTTCATGTTTAGTCTATAGAACTAAATAAAACACCAGCATTTTTTAAAGTCAACTACATGTTCATAACTTCATATCAGTGTTTACTACACCTCTTACACTAATGAGCCCCTTGTTTGATACAGGTTTAATATTTGCTTTATGAAGTAATGGTGGAAGAACCTGCTGCAGCTTTCTGGCAAGAGGCTCAGGTTTAAAAAACAAAAAACAAAAAACCCCCGAGAATTGACACACAGGACCGGACATTGACATGTAATCAATCAGAAGTGGATGCCTGATCCCAGATTATTCAGATTTTGTTGCTTGAACCCCAAGAGATCAAATTCCATGACTCATTAAACCAGTTCAGTTTAGGAGATGCATACCAAACAAAAATAGTGTATAATGAGTAGGTGACAGACAGACAGAAAACTTAAAATATGGAATGTAGTAGTACTAGTTTCTAGTTCTTAGGGTACTTATATGTCTAGTTCAGCTGATGGGGAAAAAAAGAGAAGAAGAGACAGAAATCTTCTTATTTGCCTGCTTTAATCACCATTCCTAAAACTTATCCTTCAGAATTTGAGCTGTATAGGGATGAAGATATACTAACTACATTTTTCAGGTAATATGTAAAATGTACATATATTAAGACATGGTGCCTGCAGAGTGTGTTTATAGGAAGTATGAAGGTTGGGGGAATAAGGGGTTTCAGAAGGAGAAATGGTGCTGCTGCACAGTGACTGTAAAATGTTTGTTATAATCATTGGTTTTTATTGTCATTTATATTAACAAATTGAAAATTTACATTGCAGACTCAGTCCGCTAGTAACACGCTCCAGAAACACAAATCTTCCTCCTCCTTTACGCCTTTTATAGACCCCAGATTACTACAGATTTCTCCATCTAGTGGGACAACTGTGACTTCTGTGGGTAAGTACAATTCAGAAAGACAACTTACAAGGAGTAGAATGACTGAAGTGGCTCATTAAAGTGTATAAGAGTGTCCCTGCTATGCTTGTTACTTGATTTGTGATGGATTGTATAGTTTATTTCCTTTTTCCATTTACATTTCTTAGAGAGGAGAGACTTCTTATCAGTTACAGATCTGGGTTGTTTAATATACAGAGTAAATATTTGGCACCTGGGAGGTAACATTATATGTAATTCTTTTCAGTGGGGTTTTCTAGTGAAGCAATGAGGTCAGAAGCAATAAGGCAAGATCCCACCAGGAAAGGGTCAGTTGTCAACGTGAACCCCACCAACACACGACCACAGAGCGACACCCCAGAGATTCGCAAGTACAAGAAGAGATTCAATTCTGAGATCTTGTGTGCTGCCTTATGGGGTAATGTACACCTCTGTCCCTTCCTTCATTCCCCTTTTTTGTCTTGATATCATTGACTGAATTTTTTATCATCACATAAGTGCATAAGTCAGAAAAGTATCTGCATGCAGAAATTAACCAGCTTTTATATCAGCTGTAGAACAGGGCAACAGGGAATGACTGGTAGTTGTCTTGCTACTCCTGGTGAACATGAAAACAAGTTTTGCAGTTTGGAGTGTACCACTGTGAGCTTAGTACCATAAAATGGGCTTAAGAATGTTCTGAATAAGTTTAAGGAAATGGAAACAAGGATGTGTCAGGTATTTCAACACAGCTACATGCAAATCAGGGCTCAGTTTGATGTTCTCATAATTTGGGTCTTTTTTGGTGTTGTTGCTTAGAGTACATTTGTTCTGTGTTTAAGTTCTTCCTGTTCAGTTTTCTTCTCCTAATTGCATTGTTAAAAATTGTTAGCTGAAGGGGATTCTCTCTTCAGCATTCTCAGCTGCAGCTTTTGTGTTCTGATGGTAGTCTTTGCCCTGTTCATTTGCCTGATTAAATTAATAAAGTTTCAAGCAAGACATTATTTGTGCCTAATTTTGCCCTTCAGAGTTCTGTCTAATAAATCAAAGGGCTCAGTTATTATGTATTTTGTTTATCATCTCCTCTTGGTTTACACAGCATTTTGAAGTCACCTGGGAAGGAGTTCCAAAAGTAAAAGCACTACTTCACCAGTGTAGACCTGCAGGCAGATTTTCTTGTGCATCCTGGTTTTCCTCGGTGTAGCGAGGTGTGGAAGATGGAGCGTCAGTGTGCCATTTGTGGTCACAGCTCCGCGTTCCTATAGGCTAGTTTTACATTAACCTCAACCACTCTGTCTTTATGGCAGCGAAGGACTAGGGCAGAGCCTGCCTACCCTGATGTGCCTCTAACATGGCATCTATTTGTTTTCAGATTCCCTTTGTCAGGCCAAGTTTCTTTTCCAGTAGAGCCTAGCCCGTCATTCAAGTTATCTGTGCATCTGTTATGTTGATTTTAAGTGTGGGAGCAAACCTTGTCCATGTTTTCCAGTTGTAACCAACTTTTGTGTTAAACATTTAGGGTCAAATTCATTCTGGAGCATAAAGAGCATATTTTACTCTTAGTGGACTTGTATCTATGTATCCCTGCTTTGAACCTATGTCCCTGTTGCAGGGATGCCTCCTGTAAAAGAGTCTTAATTTATTCTTTCCTATTTGGAATGAAATAGCATTCACTTTGGAAGATTCTATTGGAAACTTGCAGAGGCGGTCAAATGCTAATAATATTTAATCCAAGAAGTACAAGTTCAGGCACTAAATACAAAAGAGTATCACTCGTAAGCGCTTTTAAGAGCTTGTACATTTGTTTGTTAAAACTACGAAGCTGCCGGGGGAAGAAGAGTCACCTTTGTGGATCTCTGCAATGAGTAAAACTAATAAAAAGACATGGAGAAGGATTCTAAGCTTATGGCATTTTAAAGGAGGAGAATGACTGTAAATGTGTTTGGTTTTTGTGGGCTTGTTGCACACAATCTATATTAACAAAGGTGTAACTTCCACCAAAATCACAGATGAATTAGGGTTTTCTTCATTTCATCTAATTAGAAGAACATGCATTCAGTACTTTCTCTGCTAGTTTGATATTGCTGCACTATGGTTAGGACATTAGATAATATTGAGAATGTAACTGAATATTGATGGACAGAAATCCAGAAGAACAAGGTGAGTTTTAGTGTAAGGCTTCAAGATAATCCTAAAATGTTGCCCTGATATGTTTCGGGTAGATATTAGTTGAGGCAGATTTGTACCTTATAGACTAACTGTATCAAAGATGAGCTTTCATGAGTCCACACTCACATAATCTGATGTTAGAAATGCATCTGATGAAGTAAGATCAGGTTCATGAAAGCTCATGCTATTCATCTCTTGATGTAGTTGGTCTGCAAGGTGCAAATTTGCCCTGCTTTCAGCTAATTACCCCTTTGTTTCAATATTGCCATAGATGTAGCTTGTCAGTGTCCTCTGTGTAGCTAAAGCTAATCTACTTTATTAATAGTATTCAGATTAAGATATACAAAAAATAATTCGGTGGTGTAATTCCTCTGATAGCTGTATAATTGTACCAGAGATTAACTTGGGTGATAGCAAGGGCTTCCCACTCTCAGTAGTCTTAATTAGATTGCTGTGGGGGTTCCTTTATTTCAGCTTTTTAATTCCTTTTAAGAATAATAAGTTTACTGTAACTTGAAAGTCTAGTAAAGTGAGTCACAAACTTGGTTTGGTTCTTCTCCCCTTGTGCTATATTTCGACTACCTGTTTAACGTCTTCAGACAGTACATAGTAAAAGCTGTTTCTTATGGCTGGCATGAACTGAATCATTTACCAGACTCCTGCTACCCACACGGTGAGTGGGAGGGGGAGAACTGTTGAGGTGGAGGACAGTACACCATTGAAAACACCTGTTCCAATAAAACTAGGCAGGGATTAAATCAACAGACTAGCATAAAAATTAAATAAGGTTCTGTAGAAATTCTTCTGAAGTCCTATGAAATTGAATTAGTGTTATAGCTGAAACCTTTTATATATAGAACTTGATAGAAGAGAGAGAATTGTTTTTTTGTTTTTTTTTAATGCTTTAGAAAAGTCTTATAAGAAAATGGGAAAATTGATTCTCTTTCTAGTAAATTCTGCATAACAGCCAAACCCAGCTGCTGGAAAGGAGGTTAAACCCTGCTCCAGAAAGCTTCATCTTACACACTGGTCTCTAATTAACATAGTGGGAGCAAATATATAGCTGCACCCATCTATGCCAGTGAGTGGGAGGACTTCTAGCATTCCAGTTCTCTATGCAGTGGGCAGGTGCAATCAATGGTGTTTTTGTAAGCCTAAAAAAAATTAGTTTTTCTGAAAAGGTATGTCTTCAATTCATCATCGTAACTGGAAAACTTGCTTCTAATTTGGCACTTCTTGTTTTGTTTTGTTTTTTTAATCTAGGAGTTAATTTGTTAGTGGGTACTGAGAGTGGTCTGATGCTGCTAGACCGAAGTGGTCAAGGGAAAGTTTATCCACTAATCAATCGAAGAAGATTCCAGCAGATGGATGTACTAGAAGGGCTGAATGTTTTGGTGACGATATCTGGTAAAGCTCTTTTCAATACATTGTTTTCATACTGCCCATGGTGTGGGAAAGTGCTTGTCTGCACCACTGAAGTCAGTTCCCGTGTCCTGTGTCCCATGTTGCACCTTCATTTCTGCAGTACTCCATTTTTGGTGCAAAAACTCCCCAGTTGTATGGCTTGAGGGATATGAGTGCTGCAGCATAAAGATTTTTGAAGGATAAAATGAGGAAACATCGTCTTACTGATTTTTGTTGTTTGGGAGAGCATCAGTAAAGTAACCAAGTTGAATGCAGTTGTAATAATGACATTCTCTTTCTCTCTCATAGTTATAGTTAAACCAGAATTCTTTTAACTAAAACATGATTTACTTTGGTTAAAAGTAATCCTTGAAAAAGGCTACCTAAAGAGGTTGTAGATTTTTTATCCTTGGAAGTTTTAACAGGAGGTTTTACAGATACTTGACTGAAACGGCTTAAGGAAGAATGAAGCATCTTGAGCTGAGGATTGGACTAGATGACCTCTTGAGGTCCTTACCAGCCCTAACTTCTATGATTCTTTGATTCTACTACATACGTTGTCACTTGTGCCAAGAGCAGTAGAACAGGAAATATATTTCAAAGTGGCACCAAAGCTGAGGAGAAAGGGATGCCCAGTTGTTCGCAATTTAGGCTTCTTGTTTCCAAAGAGATATTTGAAAGGGATGCTTTATTGATTTGGTGCATTAGAGGTGCTGTCTCAGACCTGTACTAGGAACTTCACCTTTTGCTCCACTGCCTATTTAGGGTATAGTAAGAAAACATGGCTGATCCAGGGTTTCCCACAGTGGTCACTGGGCTATATTTTTTAGCCACTGGGGGAAGTAAGGATACAACTCTGATCCTCCTGCTCTGGATGTGTTATGCTTCTACAATTCGAGCAAAAGGAGAATCTCAATTATGTGTTCACTCAGTAGAGTCTGCAATACTCACTGGAGCTCTTGTGAGTCCATCTGCTGGACCTAATGGTATATGCACCCAGAGAAGTTGTGTAAACTTGTGTGTGTGTGTGCGCGCGTGTGTGTGCACTCGTTACCCAAAGTACCATGTTCATGCCAGTATAGTCAAGTGTGGGACTGTTTCCATTTTTTTAAAAACTTGTAATATTTTCATTGTAATATTTTCATGACTTTTATTTAAATTTTATTTAGCTTAAGCCGGGAGTGTGTTTTAAAACAAGCAAACAAAAAAAATCTGGGACTTAAAAAAAAAAAAAAAAAAAAAAAAACCCCAAAAAAAAAG